CCAAAGCAGTCGTGTAGATGAAACGTTGTCGATGAGCAGGTCTCGTAGTTGATTGATTATGTTGAAGTTAGAAGCAGGATTTTGAACAGCTTTTAGAACGGATCTGCTATCGGTGCATATGAGTGTTTTGTTATGATTATTTTGTGCCATGATTAAGGCAGTGCGAATTGCGACCGCTTCCGCTGTAAAGACAGATGCTAGATCGGGTAACGTTTGGACTCTCAGAGTTTTGCCCAATTTATTGACTACTGCGAAACTAGCTGGGCCGTAATCGGTTTTAGATCCATCCGTGAACCAAATGGTCCAATTGTCGGCTTCGTACTGCGCTTTGCGTTCCTGAAAGATAGAAGCGTATACATCTCTTGGTGTGTCACTTTTAGTATATCTGGTTAGCGAGAGGTCACACGAGACTTTTTTGATTTCCCAGGGGGGGGTTTTTTGTCTGGTAAGATTCAGATGAATATGGAAGTTCCATGTTCTGTGTAGTCTCAAAGATCGTATGCATAACCGAATGATGGCGTTTGTTTCTGTTGATGTTATTTATGTTACTTATGTCTTCGTTGATGACCGAGTTGCACGAGAAGGCAAGTTTAGATACCAGTCTTGTTTTGATTTGATATGCCCTTTCTTCGATCGTCGGTAATCCAGCCTCTGCCAAAAGATTATGGATGGGAGTTGTGCGAAACGCAAAGGTACTCGCTCTCGCTGCTTGGTGGTACAATGCTTTTAAGATGTTTAGAGTTGACTTTGGGGAGCTTCCGAAAAGAAAGAGCCCGTAATCTATTTTGCTTAACACTAAGGTTTTAGTTAAATATATTAATGTGTTGATATGTACATGACATGCTTTGCTTGCAAGGTAAGTAATTATATTTATTCTGGCAGCTAATGATTTCTTTAGATACAAGCAGTGTTCGTTCCATTTATAATTATGAGAGAATATAATGCCTAAAATCTTTAGTTTTTTTACATTTTCAATTTCGACATTATTTATAGATAATCTACGGTTGAAAAAGTCGCATGAACGTTTTCTACAAATGTGAAAATTTTTTGTTTTTTCTAATGATATTCTGGCTCCGGACTGGTCAGACCATTCCAGTATATCTTTTACTATATTTTTGAAAATTAAATTGGTTTCTTCATTGTCGTAACTTTTACAGAGAATATAGACGTCGTCAGCATACAGGCAGTGATCGACTCGATTGTAGGATTTTATAATGTCGCTGATTTCGTTAAAGGCAATATTAAAGAGAATGACTGAAAGCGGAGAGCCCTGTGGGATTCCATTGCTTAAGGGATATATGTTGGAAAATACATTTTGGATCCTTACCCGGAATTTTCTATTGCTTAAAAAGGATTTTATGAACTTGAAGATTTTGTGGCCAACTCCCCAAGAATGAAGCCGCCGAAGAATTATGTGTGACCCGATTCGGTCAAATGCTTTTTCGAAATCCAGTGACAGAATGGAGACGTGGTTGCTAGCTGAAAGAGCTTTTGTGACATAGAAGTCTACGTTGAGTAGTGCGTCAGTGCAGCCTCTATTTGCTCTGAAAGCAACCTGGTTGGGGTTTATTAGTTGCTGTGTCTCGATAAGCCACGCAATTCGGTTCGCTATTATCCGCTCAAGTGTTTTTGATAAACAAGAAAGTAGTGATATCGGACGGTATCCATCGGTAGTGAGGGGGTTTTTATTCGGCTTACGGATAGGTATTATGGTTGCTATTTTCCAATTCTGTGGAATAATGCCCGTTTCAAATATACTGTTATATAGGTGTAAAAGTCGAGATTTCCCTATTGCGGATAGCTCGTTAATCATCTTGTAGGAAATACGGTCGAAGCCGGGTGTTTTTCCTTTTGCTTTGGCAGTGCACATAGATAATTCGATTTCAAAGATTTGTTTTTCGATAAGGGCTGCTGATGGATGTACTTCATTAAGTGAGGATATCTGATTTAAGACCATGTCTTTTTCTATTGTAAAATTATTAGGAAAATTGCTGTCAGATGAATAGGTGGACCATACTGATCCAAACTGGTTGGTAATCACAGTAGGGTCTGAGGAAGTGGTGTTGTTGGTTTTTATGGCGACGATGGGGTTGTGTGGGCTTCGGTGGCAGAGCCTATTTATTTTGTTCCATATTTCAGGGACGGATGAGGAGGGGGATATGGATTCTGTGAACTTTTGGATGCTAGCTCTTTTTTGGGTTTTCATTTCTTTTCTGAACTTTGCGTTCAGCTTTTTGAAGTTTATAAGGTTTTCGGAAGTTTGGTTGTTTTTGAACTTGTACCAGGCTTTCATCTTTTCTGTCCTGAGGATAGAAAGGTCTTTATTCCACCATGGAACATGGGTTCTAGGAGAATTAGACGCTTGTGGAATATGAAGGTTGGCGGCGGAGCGGATTGCTTTGGATATGTTTGCAGCATCTACGTTTGGAGATTTCGATTTTGCCCTTTGTTCAAGCTCAATGTCGACATGATTGGAATATTTTGGCCAGTCGGCGAAGTCCAATAGGAATTTTGGAGGAACCTTTGTTCGTTGAGGGGTGTTAGGATTATGTGTAAACTTCAAAATTATGGGAAAGTGGTCACTATGGTGGAGGTCATCGAGAATTTGCCATGTTATTAAAGGAAATAAGGAAGGTGAGCATAGGGAGATGTGAACGTGGGAGAAGGTGGAATGGGTGGAAAAATGAGTCGGCCTACCATCATTCAACACGCATAGGTCAGACAGTCTTAAAGCATTTTCAATAGTGAGTCCGCGGTGGTTGGTGGTGTTTGATCCCCATAAATGGCTCCATCCATTGAAGTCGCCAAGTACTATTAGCGGAGTGTTTATTGCGCAGAAAATATCTGTAAGATCCCTACTACTAAATTGCTGACTAGGCGGTAGATATAGGGACGCTACCGTGAATTTGATGTTTAATTCAACTTCTATTATAACAACCTGAAGAGGAGAGTTGATGTTAATCCTTTTATGTGGAATGTGGTTTTTTATCATCATACCAACACCCTGCTTGGATGTTGTGTTAGTTGTAGTGTTTATAAAGTAGTTAGTGTAATTGTTTGGAAAAGTTGGTGTAGAGTTGAAGCTACAGTGTGTTTCTTGTATTGAGATTATACTTGGGTTGTGTTGCTTGATCAGAATTTGTAATTCTGAGAAGTTATTGTAATAACCTTTCATATTCCATTGTAGAATATTCTGGTTCATGATGAAAAAGAAAGATTCTCCACGTTTGAAAGGTGACTTTACAAGGAGAGAATATAAATATTAATGCTGAAGGTCGTCTGCAGAGAGATTTGTAGGATTGTCGAGATTTTCGACGCTTTTTATAAAATAATCATTGTTTTTTAGGAGGTTTTGGGTAAAAAGAGATATTGGTGACATTGTTGTTTGGATGGTTTGACTAGTTGAGCTAGGTAGCGCAACTGGATTTGGATTTTCTGATGCCAGGCTAGAGTTGGCGTTGTTTGAGGTTGTTGGTTGTTGTTGTTTAAGTGGTTGTTCTTTAGATGGTTGTTCTTTTTGTTGGTTTTGAGGTACTACTAATGTGGTTGCTTCTGTTATGATGGATGACTCTAGATTATTGGAATTTTGGTTTTGTGGTGATGTTGTGGCGGTATCTTTCGATACTGCATTTGAAGAAGGATTAGTTTCATTTTCCCTGACTATGTCTGAATAAGGGCCGCGAAGTGGGGGGAGGCGTACAGTGCTTTTGTATTTTCGTCGCGCTTCGCCCACACTGCATTTTTCCAAGGTTTGGATTTTCAGAATTTCTTTGGCCTCTTTAAACTTACTGCAGTTCTTATCAGAGGAAGGATGTTCTTCCTCACAGTTAGCGCATTGGATTCTAGTGCAATCTTCTGGGTCGTGTGGAGGAAGGTTGCAGATGAAGCACATCGGGTTGCGTTCACAACGTTTGATGGTATGCCCCAATTTTTGGCATCTTTTACATCTCATTGGGCTGGGGATGTAGGGTTGCACCTTAACCTTATACCAAGCAACGTCGACTGTCTCAGGGAGACGGTATAGATCGAAAGTGAGGACCATTTGGCCAGTAATTGTTCGTTCGCCTTTTATTATCTTAGAAAATTTGTAGACGCCTGTGACGTGTTGGTCTTTCATTTCATTGATTATTTCCTCTTCGTCCACGTGCTTTAAGCAAGGGGCATAAATAACACCTTTTACGGAGTTTAAGGTATCATGAAGTTTGACGTTTACTAGACATAGGTTAGAAAAGGTTTTTATTTTCAAGAATTTCTCTGCGACTTGCGGGTTGCGCGTTAGCACAAGAAGATTGCCGTCGCGGAGTTGGGATATGGAGTCGACTTCAGTTGAAACGGCTTCAATGCATTTTTTGATAGCAAATGGACTGAGTTTAGAAAGTGACACGTTGTTGTCTGGTGAAGAAATTAATATAAATTTAGGATTAGGTGTGGCATTACGCTTTAGAGTAAGTTTTGGGAAAATGTCGGTATTTGAGTTAGGTTTTCTTTTCTTTTTGGTTGGGATGTCTAGAAAATCTGCTAAAGCAGAGAATCTATTTGGCGACCTATCCGGGGGCCCCGGGGCCATGATAACAGAACTAAAATGTAAGTAGTTTGGTATCTATCACGTGGTTTGGCACAATATTAATTAGTCGAAGAAAAACAAATATGAGCACAAAGTAGATTACGCGATTAACGGAATGTTAACACACAAGTAAGCACAACCAATCACTGCGAGAGAAAAGACGTCTGTTCGCTTTGAATGATAGTCGGTGACTGTGAGATATGTAAAAAATGTAAATACGGCAGACGACCGAATAAATTACTTTACGGAAAAACACCAATACCAAATGAAGTAGGTACACATTTACACATGGATACATTTTTTATGGACAACCAAATATATATAACTACAGTAGACAAATACTCAAAATTCTGCTATATAAGAAAAATACCAGATAGGAAAAACACATACATATATTTGAATGAAATACTATCACAAATATTCCCATACGCAACGAACCTAACAACCGATAACGACCCGACATACGTTAATGTAGTAGCAAAATCTGTATACGATCGACTACATATACAGCACACAGCATTGCCACCACAACATTCGACAACGAACGGTCAAGTAGAGCGGACGCACAGCACAATAGTGGAGCTAACTAACTTACTAGTAAAGGAAACCAAAGGCAAACACGAAGAGGTAATATTCGAAGCAGTACGACAGTACAATAAAACCATTCACTCGGTCACAGGACATAACCCGAGGACGTGTTTTTCAACAGAGGAGGATACGACTATAAAGTCATCAGAAATAGAATTCAATATAATCAAGAAAGAGATATCACCCAACAGAAGGCACCGAACAAACAAATTACTTACAAGAAAGGAGATATTATTTACGTTAAAAGAAGCCGAAGAAATAAAAAACACGATAGATTCATGATAAAAATAATTGAACAGGATAACGGTAGAACAGTCACAACAACTGATAATAGAATAATACACAAAGATAACATCCGTACGAACTAGAAATGATACTCATAATAATAATAATCTTGCTGTGCATAAACAGAATTAGTTCAGACACAAATATTACAAACCTGAAAGGAAAAGATTATATATTAATAGAAACGAATCCAGCTTTTATATTTGATAGCTACGATTATTTATATCATATTACAAATTTAACTAGAATATTAAAACCATACCAAAATATATTAAACTCAAAATTTAATTTAGATTCAAATCCTGAAATGAAAATATTACCCCAAAAAATTTAAATATTAATAAAACAGATAAATCCAGTTAATAGATTTAGAAGACGATTAAACGCATAAGGGACAATATTAAAATGGATAACGGGCACACCAGACCACGGTGATGAGGTAGAGATACAGACAAGAATCAATCAATTAATTGAGGGACATAATAAACAAAAAATAATAAATAGTAATTTCGAAAAAATGTTAAAGAAATTAAACCCCAAGGATTTCTCTGAAAAATTAATACTCACAGAAGTCTACAATGAACTAAAT